CACAAGTAAATGAATCAGCAATTTTGAAGAAAAAAATGGCTTCTGAGTTTGAGTGGGAAATTCTGGAGGGTCAGTGCAGTGGTTTATGTATAATTCAGCAGGCTGGCGAGGGAGTGTGTTTCTCCAGTGTGAAATAAACTCTTCTCCAGTTTCTTTGGAGTGAGTCCGACCTTCACATCGTTGAAGGTAATTTGAAGGAATAAAGTGGGAGGCAGATATAAAAAGGGTCATGGGAGAAAAAGAGATTGAAAAGCCATATTAGACAGCTGAAAACTCAGTCAAGATTTTAATCAATTTAAATATAGTTGAAAGACTAGCTGGGGAATTAAGCAAGAGGAAATGTAAGACCAGTTTGTTTTTTCTGTAACAGTGAGGATCAGATTGAAGACACTTTGCCCTTAATCAAGATGGATGATTCAGCATTTCAGTCTAAAGGTGTTTCTTCCCTGTATCTTATGCTATGATTATCTGGTTGCTATTTTCTTTTTGTGGTTCTTTTGTTAACTCTGGGACTGATTCATTACAGCTAATACATAGGAGAAGACAGAATCTGTGCTTTAATGGAATAAATATTTACTAAGCATGGTAAGTGGCTTTAGGGCTATTATGAGGATTATTTCTTTCCTTTACTAATCTCATCATCAGGAAGGAAATTAATAAATGACAACTATGATACAGAGTTAAAGAGAACATCAGGGGTAAGAGTTACATGAAGTTAGAGCAACTTAATCTAGGAGATTGGAATGGTTAGAACATGCTACCCATATGCCAGGCATGGTGACCTGTAATCTCAGAACATGGGATGCTGAGGCAGGAGGATCATTGTGAGTTAGACACCAGCCTGAGCTACATAGTGAGTTCAAGTTCAGCCTGAACTGCATTGCAAGATCCTGTTTATTTTCTTTGCTTTTTATTATAATTTTACTCTATTTTGAAGAGTAAAAACAAAAACAAGAACAAAAATTAGAAGTAAAGACAGAATCAGGGTAACATACAATAATACATATATGGGCCGGGGAGATGGCTCAGTGGCGTAAATGCTTCCCTGGCAAGCTCAAGGGCCTGAGTTCAATCCCTGGTTCCAGAAGAAAAAAAAAAAAGAAAGAAACAATACATATACAGATTTTCAAAACAAGAATAGCTGATTAACAGTGGTTGACATATCTATTTTTATCATCAAATCTGTTGCTCAGATTAGCAGATGTAGTTATGAAAGACTGGACATGGGATTGAATATTACTGCTCACTTTCAAGAAATCTTAAAATTTTTGTTCTTGTTTCTTTCTTCTTTCATCACCTGTTTTAAAAATTTATTTTAAAGAGAGTATAGTAATAATTAATATGACATTAGAAACAGTACACATTTAGAAAACCAAGATGACAGGCATTCAAGCATGATTTTTGTACTACACATTGCTGTCCTCAGTGTAGTTGCTTAGTTCCCAGATATCAGCATACAGAGTTAGTCAAGGTAAAAATTCCACACATTATCTGCTATTTTCAAGAAACTGAGGGAAATTCTTACTACAACTACCTCAGCCATCCTGTATATAAACGTGCATGTTTTTCCTCTACCTTTTCCCCTATCTTTTCTCCTTTCTTTGCTTTTCATTGTTTAATCCTTAAATTCCATTTCTTTCCATTTTACTGTATCTATTATACTTTTCAGGTTTTATTTCTTCTTTCAGGTTGTTACACTAGAGAGACAATACAATATTTACACATGTGGGTCTGGTTTATTTCACTTATGAGTATAGCCTCTAATTGCAATAGCTGGATTGAATGAGATTTCCAGTCCTAGTTCCTATTTACCTATTTTTTTCCTATTCACCTATTCTAAGATCTAAACATGAGCACTAATTTCCCAGGTAAATGCTGGTGTAGAAGTGGAGAGAGAGTGGAGAGGGGTCATTCGTGAGGAATGGGAAGCAGCTCCCAGGCTTGGACGAGAGCTCCTGTGAGTTATGCAGAGACTAGTGGTTGTCCAGGGAGGATAGAACCTTGTAAATGATGGGAGGAGTTGGGAAACCTGAGATTGAAGAGATGAGAAGGGACAAAGATTTGAAGAGCATTATCAATGATATCAAGGGGCTGGAATCTCATTAAGTACAAGAGAGTCCTTAGAGGGTATTAGACAGGAGAATGACAGAATCAGAAATACTTGGAAAAAGGCTTGGGTTGTACACACCAATATCTTGTGTTAATAGGAAAACAACTCATAAATTAGGGCAGTGAGCCCTTCTGTGCATACAGATTGTCAAATTTCATCCCTCTGACCCTCATTCTTGGAGCTGAGTTAAACTTACATGAGCCCCCACTGCTTGAACCTGGGTATCTTCAGGTAGGCCATAACTTGTATGATAGTTCACAATGGCTGTATTTGGAAAAGTTTTTTTTTTTTTAATAAGGAATTAAGTAAGAGATGCTGAGAGGATGAACAAGGACTATAGGCAGGCAGCAGGCAATTTGAGATATGTGTTAAGTATTGTTAGGGCCGGGCAAGGGTGACAACACATCTGTAGTCCCAGTTACTCAAGAGGCTGAAGTGGGAAGATCATGAATTCAGGCTAGCTTGGGTGACATGGTAAGATGACATCTCACAATCCAAACAAAGCAAAGGAGAACAAAACAAAGAAGAACAACACCAACAAATAAAACAGGAATCAATAGCACTTGCTGATTGACTGGATATAGAGAATAAGGAAGTGAGAATAGGAGTGTGTCTATTTTTGTGAGTGTTAGAATATTCCACACTCTGCTTTTCCCTTTTCATTCTCTGTCCTTAGGATGTAGTCCTTTTCTCCAACACAGTTCTCTGTATGACTGAGGGGAGATTGGAGTGGGGTTATTCAGACAACTGAATTTGAGTGTTGCAATACTGTATGAAGAATGAAGCAGAAGATGGGGAGTAGTCCATTCTGTCCGAGTATGGGGGTGATGGAACCAGGAAGGGCAGGGATGAAATTTTATCTGACATAATTCCTCTCTACTTCCCCTCAATATACTACAGGGAGTCCTTGTTGCTTTAGTACTATGGCTCAGCTCCACCTTTATTATCTTCTACTGGAAAAGATGGTCCCTATCTGGTCTGTGTCTTCAGCTTTCTCTCTACAACCCACATTCTTTCCAAATTAATCTGAGGAAAACTATAGTAGCTCTCATATTGCTTTCAAGGTAAAGTTTCAACTTTTGCTTATTTAGTTCATCACTTTTTCACCCCCTCAAGCATCCTGCATAAAGTCATCTACATATTTGTCCAAAAAATGAGTACTGGGCCCGCTGTCATTTGGTTCTTGGCTTTACTTTCCTATCTTTTACTGAACCATACCCTCCAGTCCTGCATCTTTAATCAAAGATTTTCAGTCTTCTCAATTCTATTCTGCTTCAATAGCAAGGGTTCTACACTGAGGGAGAATCTATGGATTCCAGGACAATGTAACAGTAAATGGAAGGGCCTGATGTGAAAGGACAAGGGCTTTGTTTGTTATAGGCTTGATAAATTTCATGGGAGATATAATAACTGAATGAAACTTCAAGCCACTTTGAAAACCTCATTTTATGGGTATAGTAGCATATTCTTCTAATTCCAGTGCTGAGGACACTGAAGCAGAAGAATTGCCAAGAGTTCCAGTCTAGCCTGCATTACATAGAAAGACCCAGTCTCAAAAACAAAAACAAAAACCAAGCCTCTATTTATTTGTATTCTTTGATTTAATATTTTTCTTCACTGCTGAGCTTTAACACACATGAGATCTGAGAGTTTCCATGAACTGAACATTATTCATAAAACGGGATCAAGCATCTGGCATTATCTAATAAAATCCATACATCACTTGGAGATGATATCCCCATCTTTTCCTTTCCTTTCCTTTCCTTTCCTTTCCTTTCCTTTCCTTTCCTTTCCTTTCCTTTCCTTTCCTTTCCTTT